CCAACACCGATGTGCCCGTTATTTTCAATAAAGCTCGTGATAATTTACAGGCCAAAAGGCTTGTGGTGGGCGTATCTAAACGGTAGAGGTTTAAAATTATTAGCAAAATACTTTTTCAATTTATTAAAATAAAAAATTATACTTTACATTTTTTATTATGTTTATTTTGTCAACCAATTGATTGTGTATTGTATTAAAGATTATTATTTATTTAAATTGTATATTTGTGTATTTATTGAAAAAGGGAAAAATTTAGGCTACAATTTATTTCTATTAAATTAAATATAAAATAACTTTTCAATAACTTTAAATAAATAATATGTTTTATTAATAAAAGTTGCAAAGCCAATGTTTATGTGGAAAAATCCTGGAGTTTTTTTTGCTTGAGAATAATTTTTAAAATAATTTGCTGATTAAATATTTAATGTAAATACAGTTATACAAATAATACTGTACATAATTTTAATAATAAATAATATAATTAAGTTATTCAATATTACTTTTGCATGACTAGCTGTAAACGTTATTGCAATGTTTTTAAATGGTTGTAATAACTAAAATACGTTAATTTACCGTTTTCAAGTGATTTGATAAGAATATGTTATTGGACCTTGATAATGTGCGCTGTACCTTACAAAATGTACATGTATGCAAGTGTTGTGTATATAAAATATTATCTATTTAATCCACCATAATTTGATAATATTATTTGTGTCATACAATTATGTGTAAAAATAATGTAATAAAATAAAATTAATATTAAAGTAACTCTAATAATATCCAACATAACCAACATTGACTTTCATTGTGAAATGGTAATAATTATATTAATCTAACGAGTACATTCGATTACAATTATTATAAATACATACAAGTGATAAAATAAATTTAACATTTTAATCGTGAACAAAATATAATGTTAATATTGCAATAAATAGTTTTTTAAATTACATTTTATATTAATTAATTTATAAATAATGTGGTATTTATTAGCAGCATTTCTGGCTATTATAGCCTACATTCATTTGTAAGTATTGATATGTTAAATTACAGCATTTAAAAGTATATGCATTTGACATGCACTTTATATTATGTAATGTTTATATTTATCACTATAAAGTAATTATTACTAAATGTAATCATGTTTAAAGTTGTATGCATTGTAATTACAGCAAATGGTATCGTATACTGAATTACTGGTCGGACCGTAATATCTCGGGTCCCAAACCCATACCATATGTGGGCAACAGATTAAGTCATATCCTAAGGCCGAGACCTGTGGTTGAAATGGAGTGGTATAAGACTTACGGCCGACTCTTTGGGTAATTATTTTAATCAAAAACATTACCTAAAATGTGTTTAAAATGTTAGTATTAACTAATTGGCTGTAGTTTATATGCAATGCTGGGAAAGCCGGCCCTATCGGTGGCGGACCCGGTGCTCATCAAACAGATTCTGGTGAAAGATTTTTACAAATTCCGTAACCGAAAGCCGGCGTTGAGTACGAGTCCTATATTTTCAAAGATTATGTTCAGCGCCAGAGATGACGACTGGAAGCGGATCCGAGCCATAGCCAGCCCTACATTCACTTCAGCCAAACTTAAGCGCATGTATCCACTCATCAACGAGTGTTGCCGTGACTTCATGGCCGCACTTCACACAGACGTGTCCAC